TTTGAAGAGCTGCATTTATACTTTCCAATGAGTACTGGGCTGTAAATAAATGCTGCCTGATACGAGGAACATGCACCGTTGGGGACTCGTTAGAGATTTTTGAAGCGAGTTTCCCTGCCCTGAACCACTGTGAATTTCTTCCGACGCAACTGTTTGCAAAATAAGAGCACTTTAAGAAGAAGAAGATTCCGTCTCACCAAGAACTACTCACCAGGAAAGGTCAACAGGTCAGCCTGGCCATTTGCAATGAGATGCACATCACTGTACTCACCTTGACACGGTGAACTCAGAACTGTCTTCAAAATTTGCAGAACGATTCTCTGAGCGGAGTTATGGAGGTTTCTTTACTGTTTTTCTTCTTACGGGCGCGCTGGCGCCGAAGCGTTGGCACATGTAGCGCGACTCACAGCGCTCTTCGCGCAAAACAGGTATCATATTCGTGTTCAGGGGGTCAAATAACCCCTAGAGACGTCACCTTAGCAAAATCTGAGCTTCTGACTCAACTTCGAAAAAATGGGGTATAGTCATGGCTGACTGATAGCCAACAGCGATACTATGACTAGCATACTGGTGATGACTGGTCTTCGAACTGAAATAACTCTTCAGTCATGTCTTTTCGCAAACAACAGTACCTGGCTTACTTATTTGTGCCGTCTGCATCATTTTCTTGACTATCGGGAGGAAATCCCATTCCGAGACCAGTCATCGATGGTAGGTGAGCTCCAATCTGCTGCTAATTACCCATGGAATAGCCCACATTTTCCAAGTGAGGTCGAAAATCAGATTCGGCTAGAAACTTGTCCCCAGGGGTAATTTAACCCGCTGAACATGAATATGATGGTATTTCATTGCAAAAACCCTTGTGACACGTGTTACGAGGGGTACAAGCAGAAGCACTCTTTCAGGCCACAATGGGTCTACACTTTCAAAAAAAAAACTGATCGCAGGTTCCCTTATAGGGTAGTGCAGGCGAGCAGAGATGTTAGAAGCTTTGTCGGCTATGTTCTTGGACAAATGCAAAAAAGCACTTGCCCGGAACCGATCCTACGACGTCTCGCCTAAGAAACCCGCTCCCTACCCGTTGCGCTCTGCTACCACGTTTCAGCATGACTCCATACATAAATGTAAGACGCTTCCACGTTTCGCATGCGAAACGACAATGCGGGGATAAAACCCTCCATAACTCCGCTCAGAGAATCGTTCTGCAA